ACAAAGATGGCGACTTTGACTGTTGCACAGATCAACGAGTACAAACTGAGACGCTACCGAGCTTTAATTAGATAATTTTTTTAGGTGCTTGAAGGTATCGAAGAAGTCACCGGTGGTAATTAATGCAAGTCACGACCAGGCCAATCCTCATACTTGAGATTTCCATTAGAAGAGTGCATTGAATGATGGGAAAATCCATGTTTATCAACACAAATGTCGTACATGCGCAGCACGACGACTACCGCCCTTTAAAAACATACTAGTATTGTCAAGTGCTTCATAATGCGTTGCAGATGAAATAATATTTATGCACTGAAGGAATTAATTCACTAGATAATTGTCAAATCTCTGCGAAAATGTTTCTAACTTTGGACGAATGATCTGTTTATGTTAATATGGATTATTTATTTTGTTTTATAGGTCGTTCCGGCGTCATTTTGTGAAGTCTGCTATAATCTTATTGGCGGACCAAAAGATTTTTACATCATTCCAGGTGTTGGACATCAACCTATCATTGACGCTCCACACCACTTTGCAGAGACGCTCTCCTCCTGGGTCGACAAACGTGTTATTCAAAAAAACGTGGTTGGAAGTTGGACACCGCCAAAAATTAGCACATAAATCGACTTCATGTAGACATCATACATATTGGGGGAACTTTGCCGCATTGGACATGGGTTTATATAATTGCAATAAAATGTTATTCAGTGCAATATACCCCGGTAAATACACGCTGCCAAGTATCTGTACGACGCATAACACAAGACAAACTGAACACGCCACCTCAGTCACCAACTCGCAGTATCAAACAATAATATTAAATATTAAAATATAATATAAATATTACATATAAACAATATTACTTGTTCGTTATGTTGAGTCTTTACACCAGTGTAGTAAATAGGAAATACTACACTCGTTTAATAACTGCCGATATTCCGACGGTACTCGTAGATTATCTAGTTTTATCATATACCCCGTATTGCCCGGCCTCGTAACGCTATCACGTATCAAAACAAAACGCGTCGCG